GAAGGACGCGGAGCGAGGCGCTGTCCAGGGCTGATTTGCAGATACTGTGGCTCCGGCGGCAGCGGCCGTGCCGGGCGGGGGAGGGCGGCAGAGTGGGATCCGGTTACACCGTCGCGGCCCAGGGGCTGGGCCGGGGGGCGTCCTTGGGGAGCGGCGCGTCGCCGGGACCCCCTCCCCAGGCGAGGCGGGGCCGTCCTCTCGGCGCGGGCCTGGCGCCCCTCGGATTCCGGTCCTGAGGCCGCGGAGCGGAGCTGCTCGGGGCCCCAGTCCTGAAACTTCCTCCTCTTGTTCCCTAGTCCCTCCGCCCGGAGCAGCCCCGCGCCGGCCCGAGGCCCTCCTGCCCCCACCTTCCCACCCTGGCCTCTCCCTTTCGCCGAAGGCGCTGTTGATTGCGGCCAGGCGGGTTGAGTTAGCCCAGGGCCCGGGCGGGTCCGCCAATGGGGCTGGACAGCGATTTCTGCGCTCAGGCCGCCCCGGCGCTCCAGCCCTCCGCACGCGGCCGCCCCGTCGCCCGACCTGGCGGGCTCTGGGAGAGCGTCCTGCCGGGCGCCGTGGGGGAGTGAAGTTCGCAAACTTCCGGGGCGCGGGGGTGGCGGCCGGCGCGCGTGGGGGGCCCTTGTCTGCGCTTGGGGCCGACTCCTCCGGAGGGCGCCAGCAGAGCTTAGCAATTCCTGGAGGAGGTCAAGCCCCGGGGCGGTCAGAAGAGCTGCGACGCGGGCATTGCGGTAACTTTTCTCCTTCCTCCCAGACTCGGGCCCGCTGGCCGGGAAAGGGACTGCCTTGACTTGGGAAAGACTTAGTGTGGCCCAACGGCGCCCCAAGGTCCCATCCCCCTCGTTTTACTGTTGGGAGACACAGGAAAAGGTTCAGGACTGGTGTTGGGGCAACTTCTACTAGTTGGTGTGTAGATGTGTGGAGCGTGTAGGCCCGAGAGGAAGCGAGAACGCCCGAGTTTGCAAAGAGCTGCTTTGTGTTTGGTATTTTGAGAAAATGGCCGAATGCCTATTTCAGTCAGGAATGCCGCCGCCGAGGCAGGCGCTGGTGGCCGCAGCACATAGGAATTCGTGCAACTCGTTGGGCTGTGCTTGGACGGTCTTCTTGACAAATGTTAAAATTCCTTTAGGGGTGATAGTAGGGTTTTTGAGGGATTAGAAAAGTTGATGTTTGGGTAAATCCCTAGTAGTCTGTGCTTTTAGGAACTGCGAAAGCTTTACGATTAGTTTGTTTTCTGTGTTGGCATTTACCTATAACTAAACCGGTTCGTGTTTATAAACTTGGGTGGAACGGTATCCTTTCCGTATTTTAGGTTTAACTTTGCGTTTTAGTGTTACTTGTCACTTCTTTGTGCCTTCTAATTTGCAAGAGAACAGCTGAAGTATTACTTGAAACGTAACATGATGGTCTAGACCATTTAAAAAGCCAACAAGATGTTTTCAAGAAGGTGATCTTGTAATGGCTTCCACTAGGGCAAGTAGGCCAAGTCAAGCACAATGCAAAAAAGTTGCCGATTGTGATAATGGAGAGTTGTCCGTTTTTTATTAGGGGGTTTGAAAGATTAATTCTTTATTTATGAAGTTTCGAATAAGCCATACTTTCTTTTTTCACAGGAAAAAGGTTCCATGATTTTTTTTCTCTCCCTTTTAAACTAGTGAAGTCATCAAAAAATGTAGACTAAATGGTACTTTTTCACAATAGCTTATTCTTCTGAAGTTGGTTGGGTTGATGTGAAATTTAGTTGGGTTGACCAATTATTACAGCTGTCCACTTTCCAGACGTGCTCGTGAACTGAATGCACAGTATGATCTTTGGGTTTCTAGGCTCTCCAATCAGAGGCGTGAATTGTTGAAAGGGAGAGTGGAAGAACAATTTTAAATAACTTTAATTAACGTTAAAAATGAAGATTACTTGTTTTTGTTCCCCACTAGGAAAATTAAAAAGGAGTTCTGGTGGCGTAGTGCCTAAGGCATTTGACTACTAACCAGAAAGTCAGTGGTTCAAACCCACCAGCTGCTCTGCGGAAGGAAGAGGCAGTGTACTTCCGTAAAGATTTACCGCCTCGGAAATCCAGTGGGGGTCGCTGTGAGTCTGATCGACTCTACAGCAGCGAGTTTGGTTTGGTTTTGGTTTTTAGGGAAGGCATATGCCAATCAAATCACCTGGTAGATATAGTTGAAAGGAGCTCTGGGGTGTAGTGGTTAAGGCATTCAGCTGCTAAGTAAACATGAGTGGTTAACCCCCTCCTCCCTCTCCCCAAGCCCCTGGGGGAGGAAAGATGAGGCAGTCCATTTAAAGATTTACAGCCTTGGGGGTAGCTGTGACTCGGAGGGCAGTAAGTTTGGTTTGGTTTGAGACCTAATTGATGAGTGAGTTATATCAATAGAATTGATTTAAAAAAAAAAAAAAAAAATTAGGGGTAGTAGAAATTTTCTTGACTGCAGAAAAGAATTGGAGATTACAAAATTATTTTGAAGGATTGATTGTTTTTAATAGTTAAGGTCTTTGAGTTTTAAAGATTATATTGGAAAAGCATTTTTTTTTTTTAAGTTATGAAGAATTACATTAATGCTTTCATTTTAGGGTATTAAAAGTTGTATTCTCTTGTGGTTTTTTGTTTTGTTTTGTTTTGAATTCAGAATACAGTTATGGCCACCCAAGTAATGGGACAGTCTTCTGGAGGAGGAGGAGGGCTATTTACCAGTAATGCCAACATTGGCATGACCTTGCCTAACGACATGTATGACTTGCATGACCTCTCTAAAGCAGAACTGGCTGCGCCTCAGCTTATCATGTTGGCAAATGTGGCTTTGACTGGGGAAGTGAATGGCAACTGCTGTGATTACTTGGTTGGTGAAGAAAGACAAATGGCAGAGTTGATGCCTGTTGGGGATAACAACTTTTCAGATAGTGATGCAGAAGTACTTGAAGAGTCTCCTGATGTAAAAGGTGAACCGAATGGACTGGAAAATATGGAACTGGAAAGTTTGGAACTTGGTGTCGTAGAACCTCAGCCTGTATTTGAGGTATCTGCTGCCCCAGAAATTTATAGTGCAAATAAAGATCTTCCTACTGAAACACCTGGAACAGAGGACAAGTGCAAGAACTTGAAAACCAAACCTTTCCGCTGTAAGCCATGCCAGTATGAAGCAGAGTCTGAAGAACAGTTTGTGCATCACATCAGAGTTCATAGTGCCAAGAAATTTTTTGTAGAGGAAAGTGCAGAGAAGCAAGCAAAAGCCAGGGAATATGGCTCTTCCACTGCAGAAGAGGGAGATTTCTCCAAGGGCCCCATTCGTTGTGACCGCTGTGGCTATAATACCAACAGATATGACCACTATACTGCGCATCTGAAGCACCACACCAGAGCTGGGGATAATGAGCGAGTCTACAAGTGCATCATTTGCACATACACTACAGTAAGCGAGTATCACTGGAGGAAACACTTAAGAAACCATTTTCCTAGGAAAGTATATACATGTGGAAAATGCAACTATTTCTCAGACAGAAAAAACAATTATGTTCAGCATGTTCGAACTCATACAGGTAAGGGCCTATTTCCAGTTCGTAAATTCAACTCTGATAAAAAATATAAATATTTACATTCCAGAAGTACCACAATACCACAATGATCCAGCTTATACCCATCACCTGTACTTAACAGCTACCAACATTTTGTCCATTTTGCATATCAACAGTACTTTTCTGGTTCATATATTCAATTTTTTTAAAATAATTACTGAGATACTTCACACCATCCAGTTAATACCCATTTATATGGAGATTACTTCACATACCATCCAGTTGATACCCATTTGAAGTGTATAATTTAATGGTTTTTAGTGTTTAGCATAGTCACAGAGTTGTGCAACCATCTTCACAATCAATTGTAGAACATTTCCATTGCCCCAGAAAATGTATCCATTAGCAGTCGCTTCCCATTTCTCCCCAACATCCCACACTTTTAAAATTGTCTTCTAAATATTTGTTAATTAAGGAGCATCATTTTTCAAAGAAATATTTGTAACTGTTGGTAGTTAATATTCTATTTTTCATTGTCCTGGTGAGAATTGAGGCTTGGTTACTGCCTGAACAAAATGGCTAGAGAGTAATCTAGTATACTGGACTCTGGATGACTAGTTAAAAAGGGTTGTAGTTGGTGTTAATCAGATTCCCTTTCCAGGAAGCATTCTGCAGGATTGAACCCTACAGGTATAGAGGGGATGCATTGAAGGGGAGGGCAATTAATAATGCTTTGCTTATAAAGTAAATTTAAACAATAAAACCTCCAGGTAAAATTCCAATACAAGAATGACTTGCAGCAAAATTTTTAAGCTCCATGGTTGTAGATACCATTTCAGTTCACATTTTCATGTTGAACTTGATCTTAGTGGTGTTTAAAAACACTGTTATTTTTTTTGGTTTTACCTGATCAGTGTGGATTTTTTTTTTTGGAGGGGAGCATTTGAAAAATGCAGTTTGGTGAAGGGTACTATTTGATTTATGTAAATTCTGAGACTGTAGTGCTGAATTCATAGTTCTTTAAAATGAATTGAAGGACAGATAAGTTTTAGTTCTAAAGTGTGGGGAGTAGAAATGTTGGGGTAGGGAATTACTTCTCTTTTGCACTATTAGTAGTCTAGTTTTCAGATTCATTTAATGGATTTATTCTGTTCCTTATTAAGTGCCTGGTATTCTGTTCTATGCTAAATGTTCAGAAAAAGTCATTGTGGAAAATCGGGGCAAGTGCCAATAGTCTGTATTTCCAGAGAGAAAACTAGACTTGAAAGCCTGAAGAATCTCTTTCTTTAGGTAATTGTCATAGGAGGAAGGCAGAGCTAGAGATTACTTCTGAGTCGGCTTCTTTAATCAGAAGACTTAATGTTGTGGTTTTGATATTTAACCAGTTCATAAATTGTTTAAAAAGATCACGTTTTTGTCTATATGTGCCATAAAAATCACTGCCTAACTGAGTTTGTAGAATATTTAGGCCTGTTTTGTGGAGTTTTACAGATAAACAACATTCTGTCTGTTATAAAGAATTTAAAAGTAAACCTCAGTTGACCTTTCATGTTAATCTATGATACTATTTAACTGTTTTTTTTTCTCACTTTTATTGTCATGAATACATGCATAACAAGACATTCGCCATCATAGTATTGTTTAACTTTTCTCCATTGACTTTTTTTTTATTGTGGTAAATACACGTGAAACCAGACATTTCAGATTTTAATTTTTTTTTTTTCACAGTTCAAGAACATTAATTACTTTTATCATGTTGTTCAGCCATCACCATTATCCATCTCCAAATTTTTCCATCATCCTTAACAGAAACTCCTAAGCAATGAGGCCTCTTACCCTATTCTGGATTTCATTTAAGTAGGGTCATACAGTATTGCCCTTTTGTGACTGACTTATTTCACTTAGCATGATGTTTTCAAGGGTCTTCCATGTCATTAATGTGTTTTAGAAATCCTTTTTGAGATACAATTCACATAATGCACAATTCACCCATTTAGAAAGGTATACGATTCAGTGGCTGGTAGTATATTTGCAGAGTTGCACAACCATGGCCACAAATCTGTTTTAGAACATTTTCATCACCCTAAAATGAAAAAAATCCCATACCCATTAGCATTCATCCTCCATTTTTCCACAGTTTCCCCAGCCCAGGTGGGGAACTACCAGTCTGCTTTTTATCTCTGGATTGGCATGTTCTGGACATTTCATATAAATGCACACGCACAATGTGTGATCCTTTGTGATAGGTTTTCTCTTAGCAAGTTTCATTGTTTTGGTATGTACAGTATTTATTTCTCTCTTTTTTTTTTCCTGAATAATATTCCATTGTATTATATAAAGAATTTTGTTTATCTGTTTATTAGGTGGACATTTGGGTTCTTTCCACTTGTTGACTGTTATGAATAATGGTTCTATGAACACTTAGGCACACATTTCTATGTGGACATGTTTTCATTTCTCTCGGGTATATACATCTAGGGGTGGAACTGCTGCGTCATATAGTCACTATAACTTTTTGAAGAACCACAAGACTGGTGTCCAAAGTGACTGCACCATTTTACCTTCCCATCAAATATATTAGGGTTTCAGTTCCTTTGCATCCTTGGCAACACTTGGTATTTTCTGCCTTTTGATTATAGCCGTTCTGTTAATTGCTGTCAGTCGATTCTGACTCATGATGACCTGGTGTGTGCAGAGTAGAAATGCTTGATAGGCTTTTCAGAATAGTGATCTTTCAGAAGCATATCTCTAGACCTGTCTTCAGAGTCATCTTTGAGTGGGTTTCCCAACCATTTGGTTTACCCACAACTTACTCAGTAGTGTTTATACATTGGAGATTTCTTAATTATTACTTACATAGAAAGTTACTCCAGTTGAAGTTATATAGGAACCATACAGGTGGAAAGAACAGCTAAGAAGTTAAATGTAATAGCGTTATGAAAGTGAAAAAGGTCTATGAGAATTCACAAAACCACCTAGGAACAATGTTACATGAATTCTGAATTGAATTATGTACCTTTTTAATACATGGTATAAATAGGTCATTTTCTCAGAATAGAAAAATGTCCTTTTAAAAAATGTTCAGTGTTGAATATTTTGTGTGTTGTTAGTGAGAATTGTGTCTGGCTTCTTTTGTTACGTTTAAATACTATTCCTTGTTATATTTTTACAGGAGAACGCCCATATAAATGTGAACTTTGTCCTTACTCAAGTTCCCAGAAGACCCATCTAACTAGACACATGCGCACTCATTCAGGTTTGTATGGAACAGGAACTTTTACCCTTACTTTTAATAAACTACCATTTGGAATAAGAAGTTCTTCTAGACTTGGAATTGAGTAATTATTTATACTTTTTGTCTTAACATGGAGTTTTTTTTTTTAATGACTTAGTTGGCAAAATTTAGAAATTAGACCTAAAAAGCATTGTTCTGTTAAGTATGGAGATACAGAGATCCTTAGCCTAGAATGTATAGGTGAATTCCTGAAACTGAATATAAGAGAGAGAGTATTGTGTGTATGTGTATGTGGCTACTTTTTCTGGGAGGAGGGTCCTTAAATTTTCAAAGAATTCTGTAACTCTAGTCAAATTTGAACTGCTTGCATAAATCAATGCTTTTGAATGATCTCCATCTTCTTATACTCCCTCTAACATGCCATTATATTTAGAGTAATGGTAAGTTTCCTAATGTATAGCTGCAGTTACCAGGTTCTTGAAATTCCTTCTTCTCAGGTTCTGAAATTGGGATTTGTTATTTTGAGAGTGGATGGGTTTTAAAGGCTGATTTACAAAAACTAAACACAAGAAAATGAAAATCTGGGATACCAATTTGTTAACCAATAAAGTGTAAGACTATATAGGAAGTGGAAGAATAATCCATTTCAGTGACTGAAATCAACATGATCACCACCCACATTTGGTTGTCATTTTCAAGGTATGTAGGTAGCCTTTAAAAAAAAAAAGAAAAAGTAACATAGATGGTCTCGTAGGGTAATTATTTCATTTGGCCGTGATTGACCCTTAATGAATACCACTTCTGTTCCAGATTTAGTGTATGTACCTCTATGGAGAAGGTATGCTAAAATCTTAATGTTTATGAAAGTGCATATTCATTTCCCTTAAATGTGCAGTGACCTTAGATCTGCCCTGTGGAGGGGATCAGACAGTATGTTAGCCTTTCTTGACCTCATATGCTTGTCATGTTAATGTACATTGAGTGTTCCTTCTTAATCTCCTAAATTAGTGTTGAGTCAATTACCCAGAAACTTTGGGGGTGCTTCCTGGTTTTTCTTCTCAGAGTAACTTGGGTAGCCTCAGGCTTTCTTAGGTGAGGGTGGGATTGAGTCTTGTTTGATAGCTGTGCACCAGGCCCTAAATAAAAACACCTGTGAGCTTTCCATGCGTTAACTCGGTTTAGTCTTTATAATTTCTATGACTTATAAGTTCTACTGTTATCCTCATCTTACAGATAGGAAAACTAAGGCATTGAAGAAATATGCCTATTTTTTCATGTAGAACATCTCCTCTTCTCGTTTGTGTGCTTGCCTTTTTTATGGTGCCATTTAGCTTTTTCCTGTGTCCCTGGTAGTACCTATCTGTAAACTATTCACCTTGTATTACCTGTAAAGACTTGGTATCTACTCCATAATGTCTCATTGGAATTGCATGATTATTAGTGATGGCTAGGTCACTGGATTAGGATGATGCATTTATTTTTTTTGAACTGATAGTACTGTATCTATTTCACTGCAAAATGTTTATCTGTGGTGTTTTTCATGAGTTGAAGATCTTGCCTGAAGCAATTTTATTTGGATTTGTCTTTTGAATTTAGCTTACTTTATTTTAAAGATAATTTTCTATAGTTGTTATAGTACAGGAGGTATTTAAAAAAGTGTTAATGAAAGTAACTTTATATGAATGTGTGAAGCTTGTACAAATATTTCCTCTTTTGCTAAAGCATTTGTTTATTTATGTGTTCATTTGGAGATACTCAGTTTAGCTCTAATCTTTATGAACTCTGCTCTCGAGGCTTGGATCTTCCGTAGTGCCAAACCGGCACAACCTTTGAGTTACTAGCCAATGCAGACTGTCTGTACCATCCAGGGGCCTTAAATCTTTCCTGCTTTGAATTTACCTTGCACACTTAAAAATTACTTTGGAAAAAGAAAAGGTGCTTAATCTCAGTTTATAGATGAAGACCCAGAGGCAGAAAATAGTCATCTCAGAATTAGAGGAGCTAGGATTTAGCTTCAGGCCCTCTGTGCCTTACTCTCCCACAGTCATCTGTAGTTTTAGAAGAACATTGTGCCTCAGAAAGTGGCTCAAATTAAGCTTCTATAGCATATTGAAATTTGAACCACACTGTATCGAGAGATCAGAACCATTGTCTTTTATAACAGTTTGTAAGTCAAGTTGGAAAAAACTGTACGAGTGTGCTGAATTATGTTCAGTAGAACCTATATTTTAATACTTTGAATAGAAGTTGCTGATAGAACATGGAATAAAATGAGGCTAAAAGTCGGGTCACATAGGATAGTCTTTCTCATGGGGTGACTACTATCTTGGTGGCTGTGTGGTCTAATCTTCACAGGTCACTTTGGGCATTTTGTTTCCTTGTTCACGTAAATGTCTTTTACAGAAGGGCAGTTTGTGCTCTGACTTATTTCTGGGAGAGATTAGGCTTTGTTGAATTGGCGCATTTTAGCCAAACTGACAGTGGTTTGTGAAGCAAAACCACATCTGGCATTTACTTGGAACATTTCTATTCATGGGGATAGGACTTAGATCGAATTAGGATTCAGAATGTTAGTGTGGTAAAAAAGAAAATTGGATATTGGTGAAAAGACAGGCACACTATATTCATCTGGTGGCAATGGTCTTCATTTTATATGATCTTCATTTTATTGTTGGTAGCATAGTGGCTAAAGCACTTGACTGCTAACCAGAAGGCTGGCGGTTCAAACCCACCAGCCACTCCTCGGAAGGCAGGTTGGTCAATCCTACTTCTGCAGTGATACTGCCTCGGAAACCCAAGGAGGGGTCGCTATGAGTCCAATCGACTCCACGGCTTTGAGTTTGGTTTTTTGGTCAGAGAGTAAAAATGTCAGAGGTAGAATTTAATCCTTTCAGGGTCAGTTACATCTGGAGGAGATTCCTGTGGGACAAAAAGGGTGCCAGGTACCATTGGAAATGAAGGGAGAATGGGAGAAAGGCCCCAAATTTTAGTCCTTGACAGACTTATGTCTTCTCATTGCCTGGTGACAACAGAGAGTGGAAATGAAACCTTTCAACATCAGGATATAGATGTTGTATCCAATTTTTAATCAACCTAAACCCTGAGTCAATTTAAACCAGATTACTGAACTTTATTGTAACACTGATTTGGGTTCAGCCAAATTACACTCTTTTATAAAGAAAAAAACTGAGACGTGGATAGGAATAAAAAGCATATGGAAGCTGAAAAACAGTATTTTACCAAACTTTTGAAATAAATCTTGAGATACTATATTATTAAGAACATATGATTATTAAGTAAAAAAGAATCTCTGATAAACATGTAGTAAAGAACATATATTCTCAAAATAAGAAAACCAGTATTCACTCACATTTCAGTCTTTGCTTTACATCTTAAAATTTGGATGCAGCAAAAGTAAAACACTGCCTCATGAAAAACGATTAAGAATTCAAGTTCATAGTACCAGCTTCCTCCAAGGTAATGTTCTATTGATTTGTAATTTGGCCTTGAATTTGACCTGTGGCCTTCATGTCATGATAATTTGGGTCATTCTGAATATGTCATCCCTTGAACAAGGGACTTTGCGAATTTCAAATGAATGCAGCTGCCTATTTGCCATTCTTCTATTTGCATTACAATATGTGGGAATAAATTCACAATTAATAGAACGTTTCCAGTAAGCAGACAGACCTACGAAAAGAACATTTATCTGGTATGTTTAAAAAGAGAGATTTCATTTTTTCCTTTTTGAACATAAAAAAGGGTCAGAAAGCAGTTCATGTCTTTGATGGCCTCTGTAGAGGCCAGAATTGGTCTCTGGGCTATAGCATCTAAAATAGCCGTGTAACTTCAAATTAGAGTCTAGTTAAAAAAGAAGAGGGGGGGATAACCATAGAGATGTTTGTACCAAGACTAAACATTTGAAAAAGTTAAACTTGTTTCTTAGTTCTTTCTCTTTCTGTAATAAAAATGAATACTTTTCAAGTTTGAGTCTTGGGCCTGAAAGGGGAGTTGCATTAGAAATTAAGTTACTGAAATTCATAGGGGTCACTTTAGGCTCTTCATTCCATATTGCATCTAAAGCTGCATTAATTAGTAATATATCGTCCAGACATAGGGAAACAATAGTCCTACTGAGAGTATACCAGAAAGTGATGAGTTTGGCAGTACTGTCTTAAGAAAAAGGAGTTTAGGAACTAGATAGGTAAGGAACTGAATGAGCTTGGGGGAACTAGAGGAGGAGTTAAGGCCGGCTCAAGCATAGCAAGGATTGTAAGCATGGCAAAGGACCAGGCAGTGTTTTGTTCTGTTGTACATAGGGTCGCTATGAGTCAGAGTGGAGTCGTGTCACCTAACAACAACAGCTTTCGGGTTTTACTGTTTAAATGATTCCTCCTTCCACTGTCTGCCTGTTGGATTCTTCTCATTCTCCAAGGTCAGATTGAATGGTCATCTATTGAGAGAAGTTTCTAGATCCTCGTTAGGCTCTATCTCCCTATTCCGGATCCCTGTAGCACTTGCTGCCACCTCCATTACAATACTAGTGACAGTCTGACTATCCTACATCAGGTTAGGCAGGGCCTTGAGTGCCACATTTAGGGGTTTAAATTTTAGTTTGTAGGCCACTGGGAGCTATTATGCTTCTTAGGACAGCCTTGACATAAGACTCAAGTTTGAAGAAGGTTATCAAAGTCACTTCAAATGAAAACAGAAGGGAAAGAGCGCACGAAATTTCTTCTTTTTAGCATTACTATGTGCAGGCATTTTGTATGGTTATCCTAATTCATAGACAGGGAAGCCGAGGTTACAACATGTGAACACCAGCAGACTCACCACCTCTTCAGTTCTTTACCCTTACTAACTTGGTTTCTACGCCTCCACGGGAATCGTGTTTTCAAAGCTCAGCAATGACCTGCTACCTGACACGACCAGGGACTTGTTCCCTCAGTCCTATTTTCACCAACTGTTCTTAGGCTTTTAACACCGCAGTTCATAACCACCTTTCCGAAACATTTTCTTCTCAACTCTATTGCCCTCGCTTCTTGTTTGAAATTCGGATTGTATTTTTACTAAAGAAGCTTAAAACTAAGTTTAATTAGTTAAGGGTGGGGATGGGTGGAGACTTGAGATTTTGACGATTATTTTCGAGCTCTTTAGATTTAAGAGGCCATTGACAATAGTGCTAAAGCTAACAGTCAAAGACTGCAGATTTTTCTTTTAACAGCTCTATTCTCATGCATGTACGCAGGGCTGGGGGTAACTTTTCTGTTGTTTGTATATAAAAGAAATAAAGAGAGCAGGGTCCGCCTCTTTCCTAACCTGAGGGCAAGAGTGAGGGGCAGTAAGGATTAGGTGCGGCCCCCACTAGGCGCGCCCCCCTTACCGAGGGGCGGGGCGCGTCCAGCGGCCACGCGCGCAGGCGGTGGAGGGGGCGTGTCTCGCGAGTGCGCGCGAGTCGCAGAGGGGGCGTGTCCCGCGGG